ATTTTGTCTAGTGTAAAATCTATTTTTAAGGGATAAAAAAGGCGAACGACATTTCACTAAGGGCTTTCGTGCTTTTAATATAGTATAGATATCTGCCTAGTAGCTAATATACAGATAAAATAATCTCAAAATGAGTCCAAGGTTTACAATTTATCCAAATAAAAATAAAACAAGACGTCTACAACTAGCTATTACACAAGCAGCTCTAAATAACAAACTAGCTGTTACAATGAATGTGAAGAAAGATTGCCATAAGAAGATGATGTAAGTGACTCCACAAGCCAAGTGCAAAGACCTCATAGTAGCACCTCTAATGCTTTCATCAGGCGCCAGATTTTGCATTCCAAATGACAAGGCAAATGTGAATCTCCAACCAATACACCATACCACAACAATTCTCCAAAATTCCTCCATGCGTGAGTAGATATAGCAACTGATCCTCCTATAACTTGAATGTTGTCTCCATGATGTGAAACTGTGTAGGAATCTAGAATAACCAACCTTATGGAGTTCCTGTAAATGACTGATCAAGATAGTACCAATGTAATCCAAGGCAGCCTGAATTGTACTCCAAGAAGATACTCGTAATAGCATAATATCAATCACAAATTTTTAGTAAACTGTATTTGTAAAATAATTCTGGACAAAATAAAATAATATAAATAGAAATATAAACGAAATAAAAGTTAATCCGAGCCCACTGAATTCATAGTGTTTCCTTAAGGAATTTAAACCCCTCCTAGTACCCAAGGTTATGGACTATTTCCTCCCAGGATAGAACAAATTACACACTGGTGTAGTGGTACTTCAAACCCCCAGTGTTTCAGCGAACACAAAGATCGGTAGCAAATCACACTTACTGTTGCTTTCTTTGAAGTTAAAACAATGCAGAAGAAGGAGGAGAAACTCAGAAAATCGTATGGAAATTCTGAGAGAATGAACTTGTATTCATAACCAATGTTGGGCTGAAAACTGAAGAGGTACAACTCTTCAGAATGGTTGTTTATGCAAAATGGCTATAACATAAATGCCATAACATAAATGACTAATTTATGCAATAATAATCCGGGAATTGAAGAGGGAAGTTTAATTTTTAGTTATACAACTAAAAAACTAAAAACGATTCCGTTGAATTTTAATATTAATATTAATATTCTATTATTAAAACGAATATTTAATAACATTTCTATTAATATTTACTATTAGCAAATAAATTTGGTCCAAAAAATTAATCAATCGATTAATTATTTGACCAAATCCAAATCCGAATCCGAAGCCGCTGAAGCCGAGCCGAGCGAGCGATGACGACGACGACGGCGCGAGACTTGCCTTCTTCTCAACTGATCTTTAAGAGCTAGAAGAAGAGCAAATGNATACCTAGACAACCATAAGTCACACAATCAACCCTTAACCGTCTTTGGTTCTCATTGTTATGTTTGTTTCAGCCATGAACACCGCCTGGTTTCATAAGTGCGTAAAGAACTGGTCTTAAAAAGTTCTCCTTGAAGTGGCTAACACTTCACACTTACATATGTGATTCCTAAACGTGTCATCCCCTAGATACACTATTTGATATACCCCGTATCAAATTTAGAAATCATTAAAAAGCCTTAATGCTTTATCCTTGGTACTGAACATTGTCTCATCACGAGAATGGACTAAAATTTTATTTGACAATGTTGAACCGTCATTAATGACTTTGTTTGATCTCTTTGAACCTAGATCTTGGGATCTCCAGTCTTCTAGGTAGAGTTACCGCCACAATGACTTGTTCTCGGCCATAGTCTTATTCCTCTTGATGATTTCTCAACTACCTTTCTAGTTAGGCCTTTTGTAAGTGGATCCGACACATTACCGTTTGACTTTATATAGTCAATCATAATAATTCCTCTAGAGAGTAATTGCCTAACAGTTTTATATCTTCGTCGTATATGATGAGATTTACCTTTATACATAACGTTCCAGGCCCTTCCAATTACCGCTTGACTATCACAATGTATGCATATTGGTGCCAATGATTTGGGCCAAAATGGAATGTCTTCCAAGAAATTTCGGAGCCATACAGCTTCTTCACCGGCTTTATCTAAGGCTATGAATTCAGCCTCTATTGTAGAGCGAGCAATACAAGTTTGTTTGGACGACTCAAGATACCGCTTCTCCACCAATGGTGAACACATATCCACTCGTGGACTTCGAATCAGCTGAACCGGTGATCCAATTTACATCACAATATCCCTCAATCACCACATGATATTTACTGTAGTGCAAAGCAAAGCCCGGGGTATGTTCTAAATATCCCAAAACTCGTTTCATTGTCATCCAATGAGATTGACCTGGATTGCTCGTGTATCGACTCAATTTACTTATAGCACAAGCTATATCTGGTCGTGTACAATTCATGATGTACATTAAGTATCCTAATACACGAGCATAATCCAATTGTGATATGCTTTGGCCTTTGTTCTTTGCTAATGTAAAATTCACGTCAATTGGAGCCTTTGCAACTTTAAAACCCAAGTGCTTGAATTTTTCAAGTACTGTCTTAATATAATGAGATTGTGACAATGCCAGACCTTGAGGAGTCTTATTGATCTTAATTCCCAGAATTAAATCAGCAACTCCCAAGTCTTTCATATCAAACTTGCTATTGAGCATACGCTTAGTAGCATTTATGTTGGCAATGTCATTACTCATTATCAACATATCATCCACATATAGGCAAACAATGACTATGTGATTTGGAACATTTTTAATGTACACACATTTATCACATTCATTTATCTTAAAACCATTTGACAACATTGTATGGTCAAATTTCGCATGCCATTATTTGGGTGCTTGTTTTAGTCCGTAAAGGGACTTAACAAGTCTACAGACCTTCTTTTCTTTACCCGGAATCACAAACCCTTCAGGTTATTCCATGTAGATTTCTTCCTCCAAATCTCCATTCAAGAAGGTCATCTTAACATCCATTTGATGAATTTCAAGACCATACACTGCAGCTAATGCTACTAACATCCATATGGACGTAATTCTTATGACTGGAGAGTATATATCAAAGTAATCAAGCCCTTCTCGTTGTTTATACACTTTGACTACAAGTTTTGCCTTAAATTTATCAATAGTGCCATCATCTTTTATTTTCCTCTTAAAGATCCATTTAGAACCCAAATGTTTATTTCTAGGAGGAAGATCAACCAATTCCCATGTATGGTTGTTCAATATGGATTCTATTTCACTATTGACTGCCTTTTTCCAAAACAATGATTCCGAAGATATAGCTTCTTTAAATGTTTGAGGCTCATTCTCCAATAAGAAAGTCACAAAATTTGTCCAAATGAAGTAGACATTCTTTGACGTTTACTACGTCTTGGATCCTCCTGATTAAATGTACTTTCTTTTGTTTCTTCCTGAGGTCGTTTAGATCCTTCACCAATCGACTCACATTCCTTTTTATACAAATATATATTTTCAAAGAAGTCAGCATTATCTGATTCTATAACTGTATTATTATGAATGTTTGGATTTTCTGATTTATAAACCAAAAATCGATATGCTTTACTATTGGTCGCATATCCTATGAAAATACAGTCAACGGTTTTCGGTCCTATTTTTACCCTTTTGGGTTTAGGAACTTGCACTTTTGCTAAACACCCCCATACTTTAAATAATTCAAGTTGGGCTTCCTTCCTTCCATTTTTCGTATGGAATGGATTGTGTTTTGCTATGGGGTACTCGATTTAGTATTCGGTTAGCGTAAGAACGGCTTCCCCCCACAAGTTTTGTGGCAAACCAAAACTTATCAACAATGCGTTCATTATCTCCTTTAATGAACAATTCTTTCTTTTCGCAATCCCATTGGATTGGGGCGTGTAAGAGGTCGTTGTGTGATGAATAATTCCATATTCTAAATATATTTGTTCAAAAGGAGATTCATATTCACCGCCCCTATCACTTCTTATTATTTTGATTTTCTTGTTAAGTTGCGTTTCAACTTCATTTTTGTATTGCTTGAATGCGTTTATTGTTGCATCTTTACTATTAAGTAAGTAAACATAGCAATATCGAGTACTATAGTCAATAAAAGTTATGAAATACTTCTTTCCAGCGTGAGATGGTATTGACTTCATATCGCAAATATCTGTGTGAATTAAGTCTAAAGGATTTGAATTCCTTTTAACTGACTTATAAGGATGTTTAACATACTTAGATTTCATACATATTTGACATTTTGATTTGTCGCATTCAAACTTAAGCAATACTTCCAAGTTAATCATTTTCCGCAAGGTTTTATAATTAACATGACCCAAACGTATATGCCATAATTCATTTGACTCAAGTAAGACGAAGCTAAAATTTTATTATTATTCTCAACAACCATTACATTCATCTTGAAAAAGCCCTCAGTGAGGTAACCTTTTCCTACAAATATTTCGTTCTTACTTATTACAACTTTATCGGATACAAAAACACACTTAAAACCGTTCTTAACAAAAAGTCCAGCAGAGACTAAATTCTTCCTATAGACATGTAATTTTTGACCCTCCCCGAGATTTTATACATTTTAGCATTTAAATATTTAGTTTAGGTCTAGTATAGCTATTTCAACTAGTTTTGACTCTTTTACTTTATTTTGTCACAAAAACGAAAATTACAAAAAATATTTTTTTTATTTAGGTAATTGATGTTTTATTTTGTTACTTTTATTTTAGGCGTAATGGCTTCCTGGCCACTTAAACTTGTAGGGCTTTTGAAAGCCGATACACGAACTTTGGATTTTCCCATTTGAACACTCCAATTTGACAAAATGGGTACTAATAAACACATCCACCAAAGCGTGTATATCAATTGCGCTGACATATACAACACATCATGCTAAGCTATTTATTACTTGCCATGTGTTATTTGTGGGCCCCATTTTTAAATACAAAATCAAAAAAAAAGTTACAAATACAAAAAGAAAAAAAAAAGAAGAAAAAACGCCTGAAACATACTACCCAACCGCCCCTTCATTGTGGGAGTACTGTGGCACACAGTAGAGCGAACTAAGGAAGCGGGAAAACCATGGCCTTTTCTTCATTGCGTTCAACCTCTTCTTCTGTGTTGAACAGAGTCCGATTTTGCCAGCGATCTTTCTCTGCCAAGCCCTCGTCTTCTTCTTCCCATCGGGCAGTCAAAGACAAAGACAGAGAGAAAATGATGTTTGATTCCGACAGGGAAACGTCGGAGTACGATGTCCCAATTTCAGGAATCAGCCGACCACTTTCTGAGATACTCAAAGAGTTGAACAAGAAGGTCCCTGATTCCCTCATCAAGTTTCGCCACGAACCTAATGGCTTCTCCGTCCAATATATACCCTGACATATTGTGAATATGAATCTGAACTTACATGCTCCGGCATGGTCCGGTGAAGTTCGTAGCATCACTTACTCATCTAATAACATCACTTAATACATGGTGGACACCTGGGAAGATGAAAAAATTGGAAAAGTCTTTTTTTTTCTTTTTCATTTTTCTTTTTAATTTATATTTTATTCTAATTCTAATTTTTTAAGTAAAAACAATACTATTCACGCGCCTTGGCAGCGTGATTTGCACACAGTTTAGCCATGTCAGCTGTAGTGCTTCCAATAGGCATGATCAACGGTCAAAAGTGTTTATTAGTACCCATTTTGTCAAGTTGGAGTGTTCAAATGGGAAAAACCAAAGTTCGTGTATCGGCTTTCAAAAGCCTTACAAGTTTAAGTGGCCAGAAAGCCATTACGCCTTTATTTTATCTACCTTACATAAAATTCAAAAATACAAAAATAGTTCCACTTTATTTTTCGAGGATATTAGTATTTTCGGTAGTAGTATTATTTAACTTTGCAATAATTTTAATCTAATCCTATTTTAGTATGACATTTGAAAAATACCAAAAATAGTTTCATATTTTATATATAATTTAGTTTAATTAATTAAATTAATTTTTGCATTATATAGTATATTTATCTTATATTAAGAGGGATTTAACTAAGATTTGGACATTTATTTTTAGCCCAATGTTAAGGCCCAAATCTGAAGCCCAAACACCTTACCCATGCCCAATTCCCCATCAGGTTTTCTTTTTGGAATTAAAAAACCCTAAACCTTCTTCTTCTTCTTCTCCCGGAACCAAAAAATACACACAAGACACAAACTCTAGAACACCCCAAGAGAGCAACGCCAACCGAACAGACCCCTCCACCTCATCTTCAACTCCCCGTCGTTGCACCCCACTGTAGCTTTCTAAAGCAACATCGCCCACCACCCCATTTAACCAAAAACTCACCGGAATCTCCTCCCCACCCAGCAGCGGAACCCAACAGCCCATTCCAGCCGCTGCTTCTCCATCTCCTCACATCAAACGACCACCCAACACCATCATCTCCAGCCCCAGCTCGTCAGAAAACAAGCTGCAATATCCACCGCCCAAAATCCGTCCTCTCTTCACCCCATCCAGCTGCTGTTTCACCAAAAGCCAGCAGCAGCAGCTCGCCGGAATCCAAACACCACCCTTCAACTCCACCCATCTTCATCTCCCTCACGCCAGACACACGCACACACGCACCAACAACAGACGAAAAAAATCTAGACAGAATTTCTAAGGGACTTGCCGAGTTTGATTGTTGCTATGGAGTTCGATTAAAGTGAGGAGGTTGTTTGAAGCTGGTTCGTAGTTCCGGCCATTATCGAGGTTTCCGGTCGCGTGTCCAATTGCTCATTTAAAGATTTGCTGATGATTCATTGTTGGGTGCTCTTTCATTAATCAGACTTTGAGAGATTACATCAGTGAGCTCCATTTTTTCCCTTTGCTCTTGTCTTTTTTTTAAAAAAAAATTATCTCATGGGATTGTATGTCTTTGCTTGTTTAATTGGAACTGTTGTGGCATGTTTGTTGACTTAGAGGAATTAGCATAGTTATTGCTTTTTATTAAATTAGTAGACAATAGTTTGAATTTGATTTCCAGTGCTAGCATGACCAACTTAAAAAATGACTACTACACTTTGATCTATTGACTTTGGAACAGTAAATTGGGACGTGGGTCAGAATTCGAAAAGATGAGAATCTAGTTAGTTGAAATTAAATGAAATTTAGGCTTTGGTCATAGTTTATGCGTAAAACTGGATTTGATACTAAGTTAATTATATCTTATTTTTTGGGCCGCTAGTGGTATGTTTAAGCTGACCACATTTGGGTAAGCAAGCCTTAGTATTTTTTTTTTTAGTTTTGAGGCGAGAGGTCGTTCCCTTAGTTAAATTTATCCGGGGAATGCCCCGAAGAATTTGTATATATTTTATTCCGAGGAATGCCTCGTAGTATTCTGTAGTTGGAGGCCAAAAGCGAAATCGTAGCACCTTTAATCTCATTTTATTTTTATTTTTATCTTTCTTTTATTAGGTGAGGACGGCCTCGAGCCTTTTATGTGTTTATTTCCTTTTATGTATTTGTTTTTACCTCAATTTGAATATTTTAAAAGCCAACTAGATCGATTACTCAACCATGACTTTCACGGGACTTGGGGAGTGCCTAACACCTTCTCCCCGAGTCAAATGAACCTCCTTACCCGAAATTTTGGTGCAGACTTAGTTTGGAGTCCAAAGTATTTTAAAAGGAAAAATCATTTTAAAAAACGGTGATCTGACACACCGAAACCAATGTCAGGTGGCGACTCTGAAAAAATCCCTTTGAACACAATTTTTGTCACTTTTTAATTAAAACCCTTTTGAGCTTTACAAATCTTTTTTATTATTTAAAGAGGGTTAGTGAAGTGAAAAAAGGGGTGTGACACTTCCTAATCTCAGGAACATGAAGGATGTTGTTCAAAGTCACCACCTTACCAAAAGTCATCGTTAGAAAGATCTTCCCACATCCTTCAATCTTGGCGGCTGCAACATTTCCCATAGAAAGCGTCTCTTTGGGTCCAACAAGAGCATATGTTGCAAAGGCTTCCCTAACAGCACAAACATGGTGAGTGGCGCCAGAATCAATCCACCACTCCTTAGGATTTTCCACCAGGTTGCATTCAGAAAGCATATCACACAAGTCATCAACATCTTCATGCTTTTCAACCATGTTTGCTTAACCCTTCTTCTTGTCTTTCTTAGGAGCACGACACTCCGTAGATTGGTGCCCAGCTTTTCCACAGTTGTAGCAATTTCCGTTGAACTACTTCTTGCTTGAGTTGCTTTTCGGTCCAAAAGCCTGCTTCCTCTTTCTTTTATTTTGAGAAGTATCCTCAACAGTGTTTGCTCCCATTACTGTTGAGTTTCCACAGCCTCTCTTTTCAGCAGCTTTGTTGTCCTCTTCGATTCTCAACCGAACAATGAGTTCTTCAAGGGACATCTCCTTGCGTTTGTGTTTCAAGTAGTTTTTGAAGTCCTTCCACAAAGGAGGTAACTTCTCAATCATCACTGCTACTTGGAATGCTTCATTCATGACAAGATCTTCAATGAAAAGTCTGTTAGTAAAAATACTAAAATTACTACTTTCAACATCTGTATTAATTCGATTTATACCTTCATCAAGGAGATCGTGAATAATCACTTGTAATTCCTGGACTTGGGTAATAACATACTTTCTATCTACCATTTTGTAGTCCAAAAATTTAGCGGCAATAAATTTTTTCAACCCGGTATCTTCAGTTTTATATTTCTTTTCAAGCGTAGTCCACAATTCTTTTGACGTCTCCACGCCACTGTAGACATTATACAGATCGTCCTCCAGTCCGCTAAGAATATAATTCTTGCATAGAAAATCAGAATGCTTCCACGCCTCAATCACAAGAAAGCGTTCATTCTCTAAATAGCAAAATCAGAATTTTTTCGGTTCACATTGTTTCATATTATCTTTAGTTGTTAGTATTCTTTTTGATGTAGTTTGTTTGCATATCTATGATATGTGATTTTTCTTCAAATGAACGGGAAAGAAAGGTTGTGGGGAAGGGATGAACATGGGAGTATAATGGTGAGGTGGCAATGAAATGTTGTCATAAGGAGGCAGTTAACGGAGGAAGGGTATGTTTGTACCACTTTTATGATGTCACGGATATATTTGGACCGATAGTATGACGTTAGGGATATATTTGGACTGATAGTATAACGGAGGGCAATATTAGACTTTTTCAAATAGTATAGGGGCATATTTGACCCTTTTCTGTAGAATATGTACTTATTTTGACTTGTTCTACAAGTGGGAAACAATCTTCTAAAGGGTCGTCACTCCGTTCGTACCTTCTTGGCTTCTCTTGTAGCAATACAAAGCAAGGCTGCTTACATCAGATCAATGTGATCTAACTCTTCTCTGAACCTCGCGCACGGTAAAAGCTTAGTGCACCGGACTACCTTCACCGCGGATAACCAGATGGAGGGTATCCGACACCAGGAGCATAATTGGCTGGTGGATATCCATGGGGTTGTGATGGTGGTGGTGGGTATCCATAGGGTTGCTGGGGTGGTGGTGGGTACATAGGGGATTGCTGGGGTGGTGGTGGGTACATAGGGGATTGCTGGGGTGGTGGGGGGTACATAGTGGGTAGCTGCTTTGGGGGATAAGCTTGTGGCTGCGGCGGTGCATATCCGATGGTTGGAGGAAGAGGCTGATCCAAACGAGACATTTGTTGAACAGCTGGTGCTACCATTGGCCTTGGCCCAAATTTACCATCTCTTTTATTCATTTCTACCATGTGCTGTGTCTGCAAATTTATTTTGAATCAACAAAAGTATTTTTAATCAAAAGAACATATAACATTAATTAATTAGTTTTACACGACTATCACTTAGCTATGTTGCTCAGGTGCTTGTTGGATCTTCATAAAGTAATGTAATTTTGGAAGATCCGATAATGCAATTTTGGTGGATCAGACATATATGTGACAATATTTTTAGACAGTTCGAGCAACATAGGCTATTAGTTCAGCTTTCGTTACGTAAACATTATATGGGAGGATGCACTGTTACTATCATATTTTATGTGAAAAAAATGAAGGTAAAGAGTAATATATCAATTTATACATAAAAAATAGCACAAGCTCGAGGCAAGAAATCACCAAGAAATTTTATGACATAAGAAAAACAACAACAACAACCCAGTATAATCCCACTTAGAAGGGTCTGGGAGGGTAGTGTGTACGCAAACCTTACCCCTACCTTGGGGTAGAGAGGCTGTTTCCAAATAGACTCACGACATCCTTCCCTCCAAGAACTTCCCACCTTGCTCTTGGGGAGACTCGAACTCACAACCTCTTGGTTGGAAGTGGAGGTTGCTTAATAAGAAAAACAGAGGAGAATATCCGAAAATTGGATAACTTAACCAAAAAATTGGATTGATATCAAATGACTTTTTGTTTTTGTATCTGGAAAACTTGATTTGAGTTATCTTTTAGTTAGATAATCTTATCAGGACTTCCTTTTGGCATAGATTTAGGAAAATCTATGTGTGGTATGTATTTCAGATGCAGAATATATTCAAGTTATCACCTACCTGCATACAGCTACAAACCCTGCCAAAAGAAAAAGAAAAGTTAATAGAGATGGATATTACGATCACAATTTACACTTGCAGTAGATATAAGTTAAATCCGTGTTTTTAATACTCAGTCAAATGTCTTACGTGCAGTAAACCATGTCCGAGCAACAGTTGAGAACCCGAGAAGCCTCTTGAAGTTCATCGTTTCCTGTAATACAAGCAATGCAGCTAAGTATACATGCTACCTGCTGGAGGCAAAACATGAACCCCTACAACCAAAGCCAATGCAGATTAGCTGAGGTAGTAAAAAAACAAGAAGATAACTAGATAAATCACTAGCAAAGCTGAAGAGAGAAGTTGAATTTACGATTATGCAATTATCGCATTTTGTCGTCTGCAGATTGAACTCATCTTGCAACATAAAGCGCGTTGAGGCAACTGAATTTGCGAAGCAAAGAAACACCTGAACAGTAGAGAATGATTAAGTAATTAAGTAGGACAGCTGAAGAAAAAGCTCATAAAGCCCGTTTGACTTAGCTCCAAGTGCTGAAACTTATTTTATAAATAAGCTGTTATATGACATGAATTTTGAGATTGAACCAACCAACCAACCTCTGTGCAAAGACATAACTCAGGGCAATGACTTTCTCCACATCTGCCACTACAAGGCATATAGCCTCCACAACATGTATACCTATAAGCAAGTAATATTTTAAATTATATGGATTCATAAAGAAATGTAGCGAATTATATTGAACACCCAAACAGAGAAAAGACAATGTTTACCTTGACATATCATTGTATAGAGCTCGTTTTCGGAGGATGTATGATGCACAAGGACCGCTAAGACATTCAAAGGTAAACTGATAAACAATTTTGAACATAAGCAGAAGCATCAAAATACAAGTATTTGGTATCAACTACAATTAAATAGATGACAAAAAGGAGTATTTGTATTAAGAATCTGCCTTTAATTATCTCTGCAGTATGATGATCTCTAAAGCTGACAGACAATGGATAATGAACAATGACTTCTGGACTGAATAAATAGATGTTTCGTCTGCTCTTGATCATCATCACACTAGGAACATTGATTTCTGGAAAGCTCGACAAAAAACATTTTATTTGTTCTTGAATCTTGATAATAACTAAGACTGTTTTTGTGATTTATGTGAGATAGTAGTAGGGTCCTTTCAGTAAAGTAACCAGCAGTTCTATTGATTTCTTTGTTTGTTCTCTTAACAACTGAACTCACCCCATAGTAAAATAGTATATCAGAAGTGACCCAATCTAAACTCCATCTAAAAAAAAAAAAGGAAGCAGCAATTGTGCAATTTAGAATGCAATTTTTAAAGCTGCTTTCCTGTTTTTTCTCTCACAAAAGTAACTTAAAAAACTTCAATTTAGTCCATTTGACCACGTCTGCTCTCCATAACTACAAGTCAATCCTGTTTTTTCAGTTTCTAAGTTATTACGTCAAGAATTTAAGTTTTAAGCATTGACCGGGTGAAAGATACTTAACAATCAGATTATTTGAAACCAATAAAAAATATTTAACTGTGAGTACATATAATTAAATCCTTTTATAACGAATTATCAGTTCAAATTAACCGTCACTACACTATGCAGCAACTGATGCTGGACCTTCGAGAAGTAAGGATTAAAGCATTCATAAGCATAAAGTAAAAGAGGAGAATGTATGTAAAATCAACTCACCACCAAAGCGAGAAACAGCAAACTGCAAAGGTAACCAAAAAAAAATAAAAAATTAGAGGTTGACTTTTATCTACTACTCCCTCCGTTTCATATTACGTGAGGTAGTTTGACTCGGCACGGAGTTTAAGAAAAAAGAAGAAAACGTTTGAAACTTGTGGTCTTAAAAGCTTAAGAGGTAAAAGCTTTGTGGGGCCATGATATTTGTGTGGCTATAAAAACTTCTCATTAAGGGTAAACGAGTAAAATGAAGAATTTAAAATTGAATTATTTCCAAATTTAAAAATGTGTCATTTGTTTTGGAACAGACTAAAAAGGAAAGTACCTCTAGTATGAAACATTAAGAGTAGTAAGAATAAAGTCACAACTTAACTTTACTCACAAAAATAAATAAATAAATAAATAAATAAATAAAGCCACAAAATTTACCCAATATGGCGATAAATATCTATCAAGGTGTCTTTACCCAATATGGGGATAAAATTTACACAATATGGGGATAAAATTTTGTGACTTTTGTATTATAAAACTTATTGTAATGCAAAGTGAATATACTATTATATTCAATGTGACGAAACAAAATACTATATGGCTTTACTATTACAGTTAACAATATATGAATCTGCCTTCAAAAACTACTAAGCAATATCGAAAAAGTTGAGCAAAAAATTAATTTGAAGTGACACGTACAAAGAGGATCCGACTGAGGAGCACGGAGGAGATCAGTGTGCCAGTGATTTCGATAATTTTGACGGATTTTCATCTTCTCCATTTGAGCCTCCGACGAAGCCGTTGGAACAACAATTGAGCAGTACAAATTTCACAATTGGGACAGAGCTTAAAATCTTCTTCTTTTTCCCCTGTCAAATTGAAAAAGAAAAAAATAAATAAGCAAACAAGCTTTCGCGTGTTTGTCAATGTTTGATTAAGAAAATAGATTTGAATATCCGTAGTCAGAATTCGAGAACTTTCTCCGTGTCTGCGCGGGTGGCTGTGAGAGACTTTTCAAGCTTTGAAGATGAATAAAGGGAGGGAATAATGTTTCTACATGTGGGGTTAGACTAGCTGACCAAGTCTAGGACTAGCTTTAGAAGGGCAATAACATGATTAGAGTCAAACATATTAATTTTTTGGCATATAATAAAATGCTTTAGAACATTCGATCACAAATATATTATAAGAGCATGTCATTAAAGCGAATTGTTTAATTATCAATTACTGCATTTGAAGGCAACCCAAAGCTATTTAATTATAATATAATTTGTGAAGGTCATAAATAGAAAGTTCATATTCCTCTGTCATTAAAAAGCAATTTATTAGCCAATACAACACAAATAGTGCAAAATATACAAATTTCAAAATCAATACCCTAGTAAGCAATCATTTTTTTTCGTATATCAATTTCCAACTTCCAATTAAACGATATTTGTTCCTAGCAGTCGTTTCTTTCAAATATTTTTGGGAAAATTTCATATAAGAACAATCGGGCTTCATACTTTTCAATTTTATAGCCCATATTTTAATTTACAATCAACTAACCCAAAAATAATAGGCTAAGATTCAATATCCAACTCCAATAGACTCTTAAAATTACTATTTATTTTTTTAAAAAGATTGCTCAAGCTTTTAAGTTAATTTTCGAATCAATAACTGTGCCTCAAATATTAGTTCAACAAACTAGATCTATTTGGGAGGTGAAAATTATATTTTTAACAAGCTTAAATATGTGGGTTTAAATTTAAAATTTGATTTTATGAGAAATTTGGAGTGGATATTATTTAGACTTGTTAGAAATAGTATAAGGAGGTTGTATATAAAATTTGAAGTAATTTAATGGAGATTTGGACTGGTTTTGAACAAGAATTGCAACTGAAAATCGTGGAAGAAGTTCGTCGAAGTTCGTCTATAGACGCTTGTATAAATGTGTATAGAAGTGTATAATATTGTATAAGATGTGTTTATACACTCATATACACTATTATACAAGATTATACATAATTATACAAAAAACTCACTTTGTCTTCTTCCTTGCGTCTTTTCTGAAATTTAACTCAAATCTTGCTCAAATCTACTCCAAATCACTTTAAATTTAAATTTTGAACTCCTTTTGATATTTTCAATCAATTGGAACAACACCCAATCCAAACAACTAACAAACTCAAAAAATTCTATTTTCGAAAGCAAAGATTTGAATGGCCTTCAATGGTAGACTTCTACTCTTCAACTTTTTTACATTGCAACTAGGTGACATTGTGGGAGAAGCAGTAATTGGGGACGGCCCCTTGAAGCATATGTAAAAGATGTAAGAAGAAGAGAGATTGAAAACAATGGTTGTGAGAACACAGAGTTAACTCCATAGCTTTTAGAAGCAATGGTTGTAACTTGTAAGAACACAGATTTTGAATTTGCAAGAACTAATGTTGTCAAAATATGTACAATATGGGTTAGGTCGGGTAAAACTTAAAAACATGGGTCATTTTTTGTTATGGTGTGAAATCATGTGTATTTTCTTGTACGTAATTCTTTCAATATTTTTCACATTGAATATATTATGACAAACTAGAACGTCACAAAGAGTTAAAGTTTTTGTTATAAGTTTTCACCTTGTGGATGTTTTGAATTATTCAAATCCCAACTTATTAAATGTTTTTTTTTTCTTTTGTTAAAACTTATTTGACATGCATAACTTCGATTCATTGGCGAAAGTGAAGGTGGAAGTGGTTGCTAGAATTGGCTGGTGGGAGAAGTAATCGGAGGTGATGGTTGTACATTTTTGGCTAGCAATCAAGATGTGGTTGTGGATGATGGTCGCTAATGATAATTGTGTTAGTGGATGAATAACAATAAAAGGTTATAATCAAAATAATCTCTAAGTCAACGTCTAAATGGTCATAAAATTTATGCAGCATTCAAGTGAACCCGATATATATAGATCAAATAATGAAGTGATTAAGGAGAAGAAACAAATGTACTCAATCAATTGAGATTACTTTTTCTTTGGTTTCTAGGAGCTGATTAGTGACATTATATATGGCTTACTCCAATGTGATGAAACTGGCGAACCAAAACAGTGCCGCAAGGTACCACTAGAGGTGTTAAATGAGCAAATTGAGGTATGTTTGAGTGGGTTAAATGGGTCGAGTCAATAAATCGGTTGGATAATAACCCAGGCAAATGATAGTCTGTATCAAGATGTGCGGGATCAATTAAGATTAACTATTGGGTCATAATCCAGCACTCATAACTCAATATTATATTTTATTTGTTTGTTTGTTCTCTTATAGGTTGCCTAGTTATAAGGGGTACATAGGTCGGATTAGTTCGGGTAATTTAATTATCAAACCAAATTAATTGTGTCAGATATTTTGTCACGGCCCAATTCAGGATGGTGACCGGCGCTTAGGAGCAAGTGCTCCCAAGTAAGCCTCATCGGTGTTTTACAAAAAATCGGATAGAGTTTCCTCTGTTTTTGGACTATCCCAAAAAATTTTCCTATCTCAAATCAGCAACCAAACATCCTAATAGCAATTCAAACAATCGACAACTATCAATTAACCAAAATAGTCTTCACCATTACTAATCAACCCACTAACAACCAGAAATACTAATTTATCTCCGACTTTGATAATAAATAACGATACTCGACATAAGACTAATAGCAAAATAATACTCATGACACTAAAAGAATGACTACGGAGCGACTCTAAGAATTCAAAGAAAAGACCATAACAATTGATAAACATCTCCGCCCCACGCGAACAAGTGCGAGGCTCACCAAGAATTCTCAACCTGTGCGCTCTAATTAACGAAATCCTCGCCTGCGTCAACTGCTGTCTCTGTAAAAAAATTTAGCAGGGAATGAGTCGCTAGCTCAGTGAGTAATAATACTTAACCACAACCGTTTTTATTTGGGGACAAGTCAGAAACATGCTAGTATCTCAAAGAGAAAATAACATAAAAACGCCCTTTCAAAAACAATAAATAATTTTCAGTCTCATCACGCTTTTCTTGTAGTAAAATATAATTAACAATTCAATAATAAGCTCGGTAATCACTGTATAATATCAATATTCACATTTTGGGAGGTTTCAATGAACGAATCATGTAATCGGTATAACTGTGGACTTCTTCGCAAGAAGTCAAATATAACGGTAGTCCCTACTCGAGGGAAATCGGTAACGGTATGCTAGTTCTACCTTCCTACTAGCGAGGGCTATAACTGTACTCTGTAATCGGAAAATACAAGGTGCACCAGGTCAAACGAACCCGCCGTTAGCTACGGGATCCTTCAAAGTCTACTCCCATTTATACTTGTCTCTGTAATCCGTATATACTCATAGAAAAATAATTTAAAACAATTAGGGCATTTCGATTCTTATCAAATCATGTAACTTTGTTTCGATAACGGTAAATCTTATCTCAAGTAACGATATAACATATTCAGTAACAATGAGAATATTCAGAATGACTGTAATCGTCTAAAATAAGTATAGTAGTATCATATCGAGCAAAGGACTTATCCCACATACAAATTCAAAGCAGTCGGTAACATGTTCATATTAAAATCGTATGTAAATCATGCTAGTTGTAGAAATACAAATTGAGGTAAGGTTACTACTCACAGTAGTCGTGCCGAAATTCCAAATGCTTCACCTCGAGCAATTCGTATAACTTCCTCCAATTCAATCTATAATTACATAATATCGGTCTCATGTTAATTTCTATGTTTAGGCTAATTTATAGCTAATTTAGAATACCCAACCCTCGAGGTTCCATATTTGACTCTTAATTCGCCGAATTATATTTACCACATATGAGTAATTACTAATCTTTCAACTCCAACCTATTCATATAATTTACCCAGTTAATTCATGGAAAAGTCTCATGAATTTCTCCCAATTTCTTTAACTATATCTTTCAAATTTTTAATCCAACTTCAAAATTATATCTACTCAGCCCTACAAAGATTATGTGTATAAAATTCCATAGTCTTAAAGAGGAAGAAATACATGTAACTACCTGGAGTGTATTGCTGAAACTTAAGGAATTGTATGCCAAAAATTAGATAATTTAGAATACCCAACCCTCGAGGTTCCATATTTGACTCTTAATTCGCCGAATTATATTTACCCACATATGAGTAATTACTAATCTATCAACTCCAACCTATTCATATAATTTACCCAGTTAATTCAAGGAAAAGTCTCATGAATTTCTCCCAATTTCCTTAACTATATCTTACAAATTTTTAATCCAACTTCAAAATTATATCTACTCAGCCCTACAAAGATTATGTGTATAAAATTCCATATTCTTAAAGAGAAAGAAATACATGTAACTACCTGGAGTGTATTGCTGAAATTTAAGGAATTGTATGCCAAATATTAAATGAAACACAGTATTCAGCGCTAGAGAAACAACCAAAGCTTCTTTCTTTTGTTTTTCTGTTCGATAGTAGTCTAAGGGATTTTTGTCTCAACCCTTTTCTTTTGCTTCTGTTTCAATTTGGAGCAAACTGCGTATTCCTTTCCCAAACTCCTTTTTGGCTTTAATTTTTTTTTTTGTTAGTTATTTTGCTAGGTTTTGTTNGGCAGAATGGGCTTCAACCTTTTTTTTTTTTGAATTCCTTATCTTTTTTTTTTGGTTATTCTTCTTCTTTTTTTGTAGCTAGTTTATTATTATTATTATTATTATTATTATTATTATTTTGCTAATGACCAATACACCCTTATTAAAATATAGGGTATTACATATTTAAATTTATAAAACAAATGAAACCAAACCATCAAAATTCAAATTTTTCAATCTTTGTTTTTCTCGGATTTTCTTTATTTTTTTCAGGTTTATTGGATATTTTTGATAAAATATTCATAGTATAAAATATATAACTTGGTCTTAGTAGGATACCACTATATAAGGTGTTACTCAAGAAAATAACACAAAATAATGTGAGATGAGTCATTACAATGTATTAAAATATTTAACAATAAAGATAATAAAATCACATAAAATAAATATAGCTAATT